CCCCCCCCCCTCGTCCAAATTTTCCCTTACGATACTACTTTAAAAAACTTAAATCACTTTTAAATTAAATAGTAAAAGTAAAAGCCAAAGTATTCCTTAAATGTTTCTTTATTAATATTCACGATGATCTCATTTTCTATAAAAAGAATGTAAACATTAATGCTTTCCCCCAATCATTTTTGGAAGTATGCAGAATGAATGCGTGGAAGAATTTTAAAATACCTAAATATATCAGTTTCGGTTTCGACCGAAAGTCTCCTTAAGCTTTTGGTTTCGGCTTCAGTTTCGACCGAGAGTTTCGTTAAGCTTTTGGTTTCGTCTTCGGTTTCGGCCGAAATTAGAAAATCACTTTCGGTCCTCACGTCAAGACAGGAAACCGGATAGAGCGCCAAATCATCACTATTTTGGGGCTGGGGTGACAATAAGGGGGCCGCGACGCTGGGCCGACAATAAGGGGGCCGCGACGCTGGGCCGAAATGTGTGTTTAAATTATGATTAATCATGACGTTAAAACATGGACTTCTTTATGCCAGACTTGAGTTGTCTCCTCTCAAAAGTTGTAACCAGGTGGCATTTGTCGTTGTCCTAAATACATAAAATAAAGGTCTGAGTGATTCAGTTTTTCCATTGTGTTGTAACTTTTAAATTGCTGCTAAAGAATAAATTACCCTTATTGTAAAAATGTGTTTGTGCGTGGGGAGGGGGGGTATAGTTTGCATAAGGTCAACATGACCTGGATGAAATCATAAATCCCTGCAGTTTGCAGAGGCGTAATAATGTCTCAATTACATTTTTGTTAAATAACTTTTTTTGTCAACATTTATTGGTCTGCGACAAACAAGACCAGATCATGGGCCATTGGGGAAGTGGGAGGCTTAGTATTGAAGGAGCAAGGGGGCTGTCTCACCCATGTAAACTAGAGGAAGTAATCGAACATCTTTCCACGGTCCAGTGGCTCTCAAACTATGGTCCAGGAGCGAAGTGCTGCATTTTTAAGTTCAGTCGAAATAGTTA